AAAAATAATTAATGCCATGGCAAATATAAGCTTGCTTCATCGACAGTCCCACCACAGAATGTGATATGCCAAAATGCCTGGCACAGTCTTCCATCAGCTTAAACGAAATAAGATGAATAAATCTCATGTACCGATTATCACTTTTGCTTGGAATTGATGCGACATAGAATGACTGGAAATCTTATTATTTCTAAACCTACTTAAATCATAGGTATGAAGACCAAGATGGTGTGGCCTTTTGTGTGATCGCAGTCTCCGTTCGTTGTATACAAGTTGTTTGACCTTGTTTTCGCAACATGGTCATATCGGCAGGAAGACTTAGACGAACGCACTTTGTCCGCAGTCCATTGTATGCATCATCATTTCCAAAGTCGGAACGTCGACGTGGTACATTCCCATACGTTTCGCCGGCATCGTAATCGGCATCTTCAGTGAGTCTCGCCATTCGTAGCACCACACAACAACTCGTCAAAGAGACAAGACTCTTTGGCGTTACGAATGGCGAGACTCACTGACGATGCCGACTACGATGCCGGCAAAACGTCTGGGAATGTACCACGTCCACGGTGCTACTCTGGAAATGATGATGCATAGAATGGACCCCGGACTAGCTGTGCTCATCTAAGTCTTCCTTCCAATATGACCAAGTTGCGAAAACAAAGTCAAGAAACTTCTACTTAAATCATCTTGAACGACCTTGGCTGATTGAAGCTGATATTCAATTTGGAAGGTCATCTACGAGTGGAGCACCCAGTCTTGAGAAACGGTACCATCGCTTAAAAGTCAGTGCTCATCGCCGCCCTGTCGACAGCCGAATTGACTGTTTCCCGCCCATTCGCGCAGCCCGTGAACCCGACGGCCGATCAGCGTTTCGTATCCTCGGGTTAACCCGGACAAAGCGGTCAGAGCGGCAGCCATTTCGCATACTCAGCCTCTCTTCCCTCCCACCTCGTCTCGGCCGACACTTTACCGGCCCCACCTCGAACCTTCACACTGACCTACGGCACACTTCATGACATGTCGTGAAGCGGAGTCTTCTTTTCAGGAGTTTTGATTACATAAGTCCTAAAATGTACCACTCATTTCGGCCGGCGTGACATGAGACGGCAGCCTCGGTGAGAGTCAGCAAAATAATGTCGTTTATTTTTAATGTCACTTCCAAAACACACCACACTCCTCTCCTTCACACTCGCCTTCGTCTCTACTGGAAGGCTCGTTCGCCCACGCATGATCACCCAACTCGCCTGTCCATCCTTGACTACGCACATACACATGCGCATCCACATCCACATGCACATTCACATGCACATCCACATCCACATGCACATGCACATGCACATCCACATGCACA